CCCCCCTTTGATTACTCATTTAATACAAACAACCTGCCATGTAGCATACTTATCAAATAGTAGGATTATAAAAATAAATTTATTTCTTTAAGGGGTGGTAAACAGTTACACATTTATTCTAGCAACTTGTCCACAAGGCATGTCATATTTTACATATAATCCTTTTACCTGGTAACGGGCCCATTCAATACTGCAGATCCTTGCCTGGACCTGTGTTGTTTTCATAAGATTAGCTGCCCATTTCTCTACTATGAGAACATCTACAGTATTCTGTGACCATACAACTTTCATGCTACAAGTATGCAAATACTCCTATCAAACATCTTTTCTGTTCTATCTCTTTTTGTAAAAGTAGTATACTTCTCAATGCTGTGAACAAACAACACAGGCAGAAATATTTCTGTGGTCCCTGTCTCTTGCCCAAGGTGACTGGAGCAATGCGGCTTGCTACTTACTAGCCAAGGAAAGACATAAAACTGAACTCCAAACTTTTTTTAGTCTCCCAGCAGGAGACTGCATCTTTATTTGGTTGGTCAAAATTAATCTGAGCGCAGGAGTTTTGCCCCAGGGATTGTTGCATTTTTTGATTGTTGCGTTTTGTTGCATTTTTAAGATACAGCCGAGAGGCTCCGTTGAAGGGAAGGAAGGGGCTATCGACCTAGTGTTATTCAGCAGTGCAGAAGTGCAATTTTCCACACGCTCAGCAAAACCGCCCTCTTTCACAAATTATACCGCCACGTGTGCAACAGCGCGGGGCCGGCTAAGGAAGCTGAACGTTTGAATCGCGGGGCGCCTTAAATCGTTGCACGTTCACTGGCAACAACACAGAAGACGGCGAAGCTCTCCCTGCCAAAAAAAAAGCCAAGGCAGACCTCGAGCTGGGGCGAGCGCCGCCAAGCCGCCTTCCTTGCGCCCGAGCGGCGCCCGAGCGCAAGCACCCTTAGAGAAGTTTCGCCACAGTTTTCCGCGGCTGCTGAGCTAGACGTGCGGGGTGAAGTCCACTTACTGACCTTCATTGCGGGAAGCTCCTGCTGGTTCTTTGGCTCCCAGGGAGATCGGTGTGAAAGGGAGGAAACAGCAACTGCAGGCGCCCTTTCATCAGGTTCTCTCCCTCCTACCCTGCCCTCCTGTCCCGGATACGCTGGGTCGTCAGCAGCGCCAAGTTAAACATTAGAGAAGTTCGGCGACGGGGGCAAAAATCTTCTCCTATCTGTCACTCTTGTCATTATAGGGCCCAGCTGTGGCGCACCACAGGCGCAGAAAAGCCACCGGGGAGGAGGGAGGGTGGAGTCAGGTTGGGCAAGAGGGCCAGGAAGAGGTGGAGGGGGAACCGAAGGCGGGGAAGACAACATGGGGGGCGAGGTGCCAAGGCATGGGGTGGGCAACCCAAAGTAAAGGCCCGTGCCTGCCACAGAGGCAGGAAGTTCCCCACGGTTTGGAGAGCGCGGACGCCGCTCAACCGGTGGAACTGGGTGTGGGGAAGAGGCAGAGTTTTTGGCGCCCGTGTGAAGTGAACAGACCGGGCTGCTATGCGCACGGATGACAAGTCCAAGCAACTTCTGGACGACTAAAAAGAAGGATGAACCAGGGCTGGAGATGTGGCCGCGGGTGACTCTGAGACTTGGGTCTTCCTATCATCCGAAAAAACGACCCCCTTGATTTTGATCTTTGGGGATTAGTATTGCTGAAGTATGCTGAATAATAATAATTAGATTTTTTCAGAAGCGAATGTTTTTGAATGGGACATGTTTCCCTAAAACGGAGGTTTCTGACTGATTTATTGTTATGTCCCCAGTCCAAGTGTTTATAAAGAATGTTTGTATTTAATGCAGAACATCTGCTCTATAATCCTGTTGGAAGCAGCTTTCCCAACCTAGCACCACATATGTATAGCCAACATGACAGGTTGGCTGGGTTTGTGGGAACTGTGGTCTGATATATTTGGAGTGCGCAAGAGCTTCCTTGGATCCAAAGGCCCAATCCGATGATGGGAACAGCCAGCAGGCATATGTCAAGTGTGACCTGGAGAACCCTCTCAGACTCTTCTGGTTGTTGAAGAATCTTGTTCGGTGTCACTGCAAAGCATGTTCAGACTAGTCAGTCAAAATGTACCTTGTTTTCTGAGTTACTACTTCTCCCAATGTTTCAGCACAGTTCTTCGCTTCAAAAAAGCACACAGAAGTATCAATTTTAAGAGGTAAGATGTAGAGTTTGAGCACTTTTGCAAGTTAAACTATTTACCATAGCAAACAGGATAAAAAGAATAACTAATAATAAACATAGTAAAATAATAATGCCAAGCCAGTCTAAACATGTAGCTGACTGTATGATGAACCCTACAAATAGAACAACTGTGGCACAAGAAATCAAAAATATATCAATAATGATAGGTTTCTCAGGTGATCTGTACCACCACGGAAATACCATCGACATTGACAAAAATCACCATCTGTTAATTGCAAAATGCAACTTTATTTGGGACGGCTTACATCCTTCCAAGATACTTTAATACTATCAAATGACAACATCTGCCTATCTCAGGGCTTGGGAAGAACTTTTAATAGGTGGATAAAAATGCCAAATCCAGTCTAAACATCTGACTGACTTTGTGATGAACCAAATTGAATAAGAGTAATCTTCCAGTTAAGCACTATCTTGAGATGGTTGTGGGGATTGTGTGCTCTGAAGAAGATGAGAGCTATGTCAGAGTTTCAGCCGTACTAGGCTGAGGACAGACCAAGAGTGTCTCTTCCTTAAACAATATGGTGAGACGTAACTTACTGACCAATATCAGATCAACAGTTGCCCAGATCAATAAGGATTGCACTAGGAGTTGCAGTTCCTGGACATTTGGCGACAAGCAGGCTACAGCAGTTGTGGGATTCAGCCGATTTGCACCACTTCGGCAGAACTGGTAGCTAATTTTTTGTTGCCCAGGCCCAGAATGGACTTATGGAAGCGGCATCCACATAGAGAACCGGTTGTTCACATATTTGAATCCCACCACTTGGCTACAGGTCTCAGGACTGAGGGCTGAGCAACCAGGGCCAGCAGCTGCAGGACTACAGTACTGGAAGAAAAGTTGCTTACCTGTCACAAATACATCCTGCAATGATACCTTTAATATTGTAAACAACAACATCTGCCTATCCCAGGTCTTTGGGAAAGATTTGAAAGATGGGCAAAAATCTTGGAAGATCACCACCATTTGGTATTTGTATTTTAAATTTTTTACCAGATTTCAGGTCATAGCAAAACTAAATGAGATTTCAGGCATTGAATTTTTTTGAACCTTAAATGCATTTTTATTTAATTTGTTTATACTATACTTCTTAAGGAGAAGAGATTCGCCACGCCCTCATTGATACCCTGTCATCAAACTCTCTTTTGTGTGAAGTGGTCATCAAAAGTAAACCATGATGGAATGGTCTGCATAAAAGATTGGCAACTGCTGGACCATCTGCCCATCCAGGCCCTTTAGAAGACTTGGATGGCAGTGGCAGAATGTCCTCTCCTTTCTCATTCTGTTCTGTATTAATATATTATTACTGCTATTATTTATACGTTTAAGCCAGTTGCCCGATCAACAGGAATGTGCGAGAAACTGAAAATGTGGAAAGAACACTGTTGACTATATTTCAACCGCTTACCTTTATTGCCTTTAATTAGAAATATTGATCCAGCCATTTTAAATATTAAACCATAGGCACCTCCTCCCCCCCCCAGTCCATTATACATTATTAATGGCTACTATTTCAAACAGAATCCAAATAAATGGATTTTGTTCTTCTGTATTTATTCCGTGTACATCCATTTGGTCTCATGATGAATTTCTCCACTTACTTTCAGTTCTGTTTAATAGAGACAAATTACATACACACATACACATACATACATCTCTATGTATATATTAGTACTCTATAGGCTTTTCAACTTAAAGCTGGAACATGACCATTTGGCCATTACTTTATAAAGCAAATTAAACAATCAGGCACATTTGTTTTCAGGATATCCAAAAACATATACGTACAAGGTCCTCCTATATTTCACATGAATTAATAAGCTACTAGTTTTACATTCTCCTATTGCACCTATTAAAGTCTTTACTAATTTGTAATCATTCATTAAAACAACAGAATAGGTGTATATTTAGTGAACAATATTGAATAATGATATGCACATGCATCATGTGCTATGAAGTACATATATGAAATACGTTTATGATAGTACTGCAGAATATTTCCATAAAATTAAAATATAGCAATGTGAGCTTTATAGTTGTTATCACTGTCATCCAACATATATTTCACGATGCTTTCCTTCGTTGTTGTTGTTGTTTTTGTTGTTGTTCCTTTGTGCCCCTAAGGAACAATTACCTTTAAACAATGAGAATATTTTCGAATACGGAAAGCTTCCCTTACTTTGCATCCTTCTTCAGTGTCAGTAACAATTGCTTAGAAAGGACAAAATGTACGCCACCATTTTGAAGAAAGTGGCTGAGAGGCTCTTGGATCCAGGGCCAGATGGAAATCAGGGTAAAGATACCACTGGGAAGTATTTCTCTGGGTTTCAAACGACATCAGGCATATGGATGTCTACACATTCAGTGGAAACCTTTCATACTGTCTTGAACTCTGCATTAGGCTCTGTGTGCTCCAAATCTGCTTTAATGACTCCCCAACCCACCAGAACCAAAGCCAATTAAAGCAGAGCCAGAGCCAATTAAAGCAGAGCCAGTTTCGAGGGATGCACAGGAATGAAGGGAATCTGTTTATCAGTAGTATCTATTTTGCCAAAGTACTAATAAACTTGGGTTCAAGCTTACTGTATGCACGAACATTTTATATAACCTGGGTACTCACAAATCAATTATTCTCTCAGTCCAAACATAGCAGTGTAAAGGTATGTGAGAATAACCTTGGCAGACAGGGCAAAGAGAAACAATCAAGGGAGGGGTCTGATAAAAGTCAGCTGAGCCCACAGAAGGAATGTGGGTGGGCAAAAGGCTGAGAAGAGACATCCCTACTTTCTTGGGTTGTAAAAGAGACTGAGGAGAGAGGGGGGGGGGAAGGAAGAGATCAGATTTGCAAAATTCTGCTAATGTTATCATACAATACAATGAAGTAGAATTAACTCATTTGGCTGTGTTTTCTCTCCGATCTAACTTGCAAGGCTGACAAGCAATGAATAGTTTTCAAAAAGTGCAAGGGAGAAACAAGTAATGCCCAGAGGTCCATCTGTTCAGTGGATGATATCTTGACAATGCTTTGCATGGGGACCATAGATAAGCACTTTACAGTGAAGGTTATGCTTCTTCCACTTAACAGCCATCACTTTTGAAGCATATAAGAGTCTGATGCTGGACTCTTTTACCCACAAAAACAACCCCCTGATTAATTCATTTGGCTAATATATATCTAAAGCTGAGATTGGGCCCATAATGGCATGAGAATTCATTTTATAAAGTCCCACATAGAAAAAAAAACTGTGGATAAACAAAATCAAGAATTTCCAGGTCACAGAGTAAGCACCCATGCATTCAAAAACATAGTTGTTCAATGTTAAATAAACAGATACCAAAAGCATTTTTGCAAAATCAGAATCTAATTCTAAGAAAGATGGCATAATATTGGGTATGTGTGTTGAGTAATCCTGACATTTGCCTAATTTTGTATCCACAAAGTTCTCTCCATAGTCTTCCATTTTGCTTTTAATTGGAAAAGCTATGAAATATATGAAATAAAATAAAAAATATATGAGCAGTGTTAGTATCCATTCTTGGATGTTTTGTACAAGATTCAGAAGAAATACCATGTGTGCTTGCTTGACAAGAAATTAACTTATCTCATTCTTTCCATTTCAGTAGCAACAAAAGCTTCCTTCATCTAGGATCTCTGTAAGATAAATGTGCCTTTCATGTAAAAGTCTAGCATGATGTCTGAAGAAAGGCTGCAGAGTTTAGAAAAATCCATCTCTTGCCAACTATCACTCACTGCGTTGAGAGACCTATAATCCACACATAGACGAAGAGACCCATCCTTCTTTCTGCAGAGTAGCATGGGGGCTGCTGTTTTTGGCTTTGCCGGCTGGATGAAACCCCTTGCTAGATTCTTCTCTACAATTTTTTTCAGTTCCTCTAACTCCTGCGGGGTCATGGAGTATAATTTTGGCTTAGGTAACTTTGCCCCCAGGAGTATTTCAATAGCACAGTCTACGGGTCGGTGAGGGGGTAGTTCGTCAGACCTCTCTTCGCTGAATACT